TTTTTTATTTTTTGTTTTTTAGGAGTTTTAATTAATGTTTTTGAAATAATACAAAATATTTTCAATATTATAGCAACAAATATTATAATTTACTATAATTTGCAAACGAGCCAATTTTTTTTATCTAGCCGGACTTTTTTCCACCAACTCTAAACACAAATATACCTTTTGTACTTCTTTCTTTTAAGGGGTTGTTATAATTATCCATTTTTAGCGTTTTTCTTTTTTGAAATGCATTTTTGGGAAAAAATTTTTTGCTTCAAATAGATGTTTAATTTTGAACTGAAAACTAAAAAACAAAATACAAATGAACCAATTCGGTTATTTTTTTCACTTAACACAGGAAGGTAGAGAAGAACCTGGAGTTGAAGAAGAAGTGATGCGTATGTATGGGAAATATGCCAACTCATTTAACATTCCAAATGTACCCAAAGAGATCTCAATCAAAGAAGAAACACGTCAATATACCGAATACCTTCCCCATTTTGGTACTCCTCCAACACAAGTGGTTTTTAAAACTGTAAGAAGTTTTTGTATGTGCGACATTTTCGACTTCCATTTTGCTCTTCATAACAAATACATGAAACAAAAAACAAAAGGAAAAAAGAAAGAGTGGGAAAAACCAGATATGATGCTTACACCAACCAAACTTGTTTCTTCAACATATAAAAGTTGCAAAAAACAAAAAAACAACGACACTGATAATTTGTACATCCAGATTTTAATCACATTTATTAAAAACCAAAATGCAAGTCAAACAGCAAAAGAATTTGGAGTCACAGCTACAACCGTTCTTAACATATTCAAAAGATTTGTACAAGGTGATAATCTAAAAGGTCAAAGACGAGGAAGAAAAATAGGTAATAACATAAAAGTTGATTATAACACAATTACAATGATTATCAAAGAACTACAATCCAACGGGCAAATCACCATGAACTTGTTGACAAAGTTTGTTAATGAACAACGAGATAATTGGATGAATGAGGTAGCCAAGGTAGAAAGGGGTTTAAAAAAAGACGATAAGACAATAAGTCACATGTTGGAACAGAAAAAGTTGTCAATTTCGACTGTGCATAAAGTAGTAAAAAAAAGTTGGGTTGGACTCTGAAAAATACGAAAAAAGACCTTTTTGATAGGAACACAGAGTATCGAATAACACAGAGAAAAATTTACGCCGAACACATTGACTTCCTATTCCCTTTCAATTTTGTTATTGTCTATCTTGACGAGGTTGGGTTTTTATTAAACCAGAGAAGAACACAAGGATATTCTATAAAGGGATTCTGTTGCAATGATTCGCTTCAACACATTCGTGAGCCGAACATCACCGTATTCACCATGATGGTTCCGGGTAAAAAACTGGTCTTTAGACTTTCCAACAAGACTTCTAACAAACTTTTTTTGCAAACACTTGAAGAGGTTTTTATTCCCCAATTGCAAGAATGGTTTAATGGGGTTTTTATACATTTGGTATTGGATAATGCTTCAATTCATAAACACGCAATAGAGGATTTATGTAAAGCATATGGAATATATGTGACATTCTTGGTGCCTTACAGTCCTCAACTCAATGCGATTGAAAAATGTTTTTCGATAGCAAAATCTTATCTAAACAAAGTGATGGTTGATGATTTTACTTTTGTTGAAGCAATCAAAGCAACATCAACAAAGTACAACCGCTTTTTAGTGAACACTTCAATTCCGCGAAAAATAGAAACAGACTTATTTGCTCTGCTGATTACTGCTTCACTTCTGCATGTAACAGAACAGAACACACACGACTTGCATTTGAAAACAGGTCAGTGGATTAACAGAGCAAGAGAAGGAGCCTTCTTCGACAACGACGACAACGCAAACAAAAAAATAATACGGGTTGAAGTTCCAAAACCTTCTTACCATCTCGATATTAAATTTGATATCCACGAATCTTTTATCGCAACGGTAACATTGAAAACACATTCTCAAGCTCTTACAATTCTTCAGAGAGGAATTCAAACTGAGTCTGCATTCAGAGAATGCCCACCTGAATTGTATGAAGTCCAATCAAATTTTCAACTGGTGAATTTAGAAAAACCAACTTCACCCGTTATGACAGTTGAACAAGGCCAATTTTCAGCAAGATTATTTGACGTTGAAAAATTCGTCTTTGAAGACCATTCACCGATATCAGAAATACAGGAAATCCCCAAGTCTGACCATGTTCAAAGAGCTACACAAAGAAAACATTTGAACACAATTGTATATCAATTGATGAGTATAATAGAAAGAGACGACATTGAAACAATAAAACGAATAATAAAAAATGAAATGCTAAACACCGAAATTCTCGATCTGTACACCGGATGGATAGAGTTAAGAACTCATTTTATATGGAAGAATCTCGTATACGTTAGTAATTGGAATAATACTTATAAAGAAAAATTTCTAGAGAATAGAGTGAAAAATATGATACTTTCACTTACCAACCAACGAGTCTTCCTTTTGCCAGTTTATAGCAAAGGACACTTCATGATGGTATCAGTATTCTTGCCAATTTATGGAGAACCTTTTGTTGGAAAAATAAACAGTTTATTGTTTTGTGGGGAAACCTTTTTAAACAATGTTGCTCTTTTTGTAAAAAAAGAGTTCGAGTTGAAGGGTGTTATTTTTTCAAAATCAAATCCAATTGATATTCATGTTCCTTTACAACGAGACGGTATATCTTGTGGGGTATTTATATCATATTTCATGGAAATTATCTGTTGTCAATTCCCTCAATCAGTCAAACAACTCGAGGAATTGTTATTATACCAAGATGCGTCAACATTCAGAGACAAAATGATTAGGATTGCTCGCCCCGACTTTCAATATGAACTCAACACGATGATAGACAAAGTTTAATTGATCATTTCGTTTGGTTTTTTATGATTTTGTTCATTATTATTAAATGATCTGGTCATTAGACAAATAATAAAATGTAATCTTTTTGATGATTAAAGAAAAAGTGTACATCTTTTTGTAATTTTTAAATTGTAACTAAATTTTTATTATATTTTA